TTTTCCAATTCTGTGTCAATCTCTTGGATCATGGCAGGTAAATATGTAGGGTGTACATTATCAGGGTCTTGAAACTGGAAACGTGGTTCCCCAACAGTGTTTTCTTCATAATTTGGTTGCCGATCACATTGCAGTTGCATTTTCTCAATGAACAGAGTGACATTCTCTCTCTCTGGTGAATATGGTTGCGTCTGGTTTGCGATGATTTCTTTGGTATGGAAACTCTCATGGTTGTATAGTTGTCCAGAGACTTCCACTGATGTACTGCGATACGTTCCAATGGCAAGCTTTTGGGTGTTCTCTGTGTCATCCTCTGGTTGTGCTTGAATGCCTAATGTATGTGGGTGTTGAAAGACTACATCAGTAGATGGTGTTGCAACCTGCATGCGTGGGGATACTTTGATCATATTGTAAAAATTTTCTGTAATGTCAGAGCTGCTGACAGTATCCATGGCGATGCAACTCCCTCCACTGAATCCATGGTTATTTGTTGTGGTGGTGGTCAGGTCTTTTACCTTAGGGGAGAGAACTCTAGTTCCATACTTTCCACTTCCTTCTGGTAATTAAGAAATTAGAATCTTATATAATAGCAAGAGTAATTTGCAAACAAATAAAATTTTGAAAAATCATGTCCCCTGTAGATGACTTTTTCAGTCTTTAACAATATAAGGATGCTGAGCTGGATCAAATTTGACTCAAACTACACCATCTCCTACATTGTTCACTCTCCAACAATACCACTTTGCCCTATCCAAATCTTTTGTTATTATGCATGGAAAACAGAAACAGAGTAGGGCCAAATCAAGTCCTCTCATTTCCCTATTAAACACTGTACATGTATTTACTCACTGTTAATAATACAACACTGAGTTCTATTCACTAATGTTTATAGTTTGCATCAATATCTGTCTAACAGTTTGGTATAATTCAATGGCAGATTTTCACATATTTTCTGATGAAATTAAGTTCTTTGATAAAGCAGGTTCTGTTTTATTGATTTTAATGGCAGAGGCTCGCCATTTTTATCTATCTTCCCCCTCAATAAACTGATCATATATTTTATTTATCCTGCAACATTGACTGAAAACAGAACATTAAAACTTCAAAAGTTTTGTTGTTCACTATTTGTTAACCTGACATTGACGTTACGCTGAATTTTGCCTGATGATGGATGCCAAAGTAACTGTTCCACAAGAAAATATGTTTTCAAACTTCATCGGATATAACGGCGATTTTATAAATATTCATAGATCAACATGTTTATTATAACATGTAAGATCACTTCTTTCAACAACTATTTATATTTCTAAACGCAATATAGAAGTAAATTCAGGGAGTAATTCTAATGAATTCCTGCATGTGCTAAAATACAGGTGTTTTCCGTCTCTACCAAATGCAGCTAAAATATATGTGGCAGGTGTATTCTGACAAGCAGCGCAAGTTGCGGGATAAATATCATTATTATTACCAGATGGAGCAACAAGCAGTTTTCCCAACTGCTTTCTCTTAGCTGGAGCTAGTGGCACACTTGGAGTTCTCTCCCCTGTGTCATCCGTCATGTTTCCTGAAGATAAAAACAAACAGGTTTAAGATGTCATAATATGAACAATGATGAAATCTCATTCCCATGAAGCAGAGTTTCAGGATGTATGAAACTCATATTCAGTGATTTTTTGAATCCCTTAAATTTTAGACCTCGTTACATCCGTAGTATTGGGACTCATCAAATTTTTAGAAATGATCTGGACTTCCCTTAAAAATTCTTAAAACAAATACTCATGTTTTAATGGGAGCAGTATTACTTCAATATATAACAAATTCTAACATAATACCTTAGATTTATGTCAGTGTATAACTGCACTTATAAACAGAAAAGGGGTGTGTAACATGACATTTCGAGGAAATTACACCAGTGGTGTAATGATAGGTCAACTTATCAATGTATTGCAATAGCATTGCTCTCAATAGCAATAGGTGGAAAGCATATTTTCAAGTCGCTAACTAATCTTATTAGTATAAATATAGTTCACAAAGTATATAAAAACACAATAGTCTGTGACATTATGGTGGAATTCATTTTTCTTGAATGATGTCTAACTTCCAGTCAAACATCATAGGAGTACATCCTTAATTTCTGTTTGCCCAGACTCCTAAGACTTAAACTTCTACAACTTGTTAGTGTTTCATAAAATCTTGTATCTAAGATATCTAGGTATCTTTTAATCTTATCACAGACTATGAATAGAATATAGGTGTTTCATAGAAGAGAAGGCAATTCGAAATCTGATCAAATTTAAAACTATGTTGTACAACCTTCTTGTTAGTAGGAATCTCAGCAATAAATACTCCACAGGTTTATTTTTTGCTTACTTCCTGTCATGATTATTGTGCAATAAACTTTTTCTAGCAAATAAATCTCAAGTAACAATATGCCAATATTACGACGAGTAACTTACTTTCATCATTTTCTGTTATCAATTAAATCTATTTACCAATATTACTGAGAAATATAAGACAATCTGTGCTATCTACAGAACGACTCATTTTTCTCAGAATCACTCATCCATAATCACTGCGCCCCACAGTGTAGGCCTACTTTCAAATTTCCTCTTCTTGACATTGTTCAACAAAGGTAAACATAAAAATCAGGGCTGCTTTGAAATCCAATTGTTTATGATCTTTCGAAAGGGAGCTGTCACATCGATAATTGATTAACTTATCAAAATGTCACATACAAGTTCGATAAGTTTTCGCCATTTGCATTTCGTGACGTAAAACTTGACAATCGGGCGGTCATTTTCTGCGTGTTAAACTGAACCATAAACTGCGAAACTGACAGCGACATGTCGATAAAACCAAATACTAGTATATTAATTTCTCTAAAGACTAGCAAATTTACCGGCTTCGGGATAGAAATCCAGAAACTCATCTGCTGTCTCCCTCATTGTCATTTTCCTGTTGTCCCGTATTTTCCATGACGTATTGGAAATCCCCTAAACACGCCACCAGTTAATTGGGGCGAAACGTTCTAAGGGTTATCTCCCATGCTTCAACCGCCAGCGTATTGGACTTTCTTGCTTAGAACATATTGCGATTACATGCTCAGCTCCCAGAACCTGTTTTGTTTTTTGTTCGATATGTATAATCTTAAAGATGCAATACATCATATAAGATCGATGAAGCACGTAATACACACATTCCGTTTCATCAGAATAAACTTGAAAAAAATATAATCGGAAAACAATATCCAAAAACACATGGCATTCTATAAAAAAAAAATCAGAAAAAAACCCAAAGAAATTCATTCGTTTGTAAGTGATTTCCCTAGATACATCATAGCAGCATAGACTTACTTTCTATATTTTCACTTTGTTGATTTCCATACAAAGTGATATATGAGGAACGAGAGGCACTGCATACTGTCAGGGACGCCCTGATACCGTTGAGAGTTATAAGATGTATAAAACAGGAAAGAGTTAAGATTTTAAACAGTGAAGCTGTATTGTGACCTTGTCTTAATAACAAATCAAGAAATAGAAAATAAACTGTAGACATTTCTGAAGAGTATTCTGACGATTTCTTAGCTTCCGCTGAATGGTCAAGCCCAAAAATCACGTAAATCGTATTGCAATGAAAACTTCCCGAATGAAAGTTGTTCCTAATCAACAAAAAGGGTTCGGATATCAGATAATCAAATCAGCAAGGATTTAAAAAAAAAACCGGAATGAATGAAAATAGACTGAAAATCATTTGATGAGGTCAAGCAATACTATTATTACATTTTTGTCGGTGAAAAATAGGAATTTAACATTAATGTGATAGATATATGCTTGTTAGGTAATGATAAAATCTTATTCCAATCAGAGCGGCACGTTGTAGCAGGGACGTATATGACATACGTCCCTGACTAGTGGTAGAAAACAAAATCACATCGTTTTGTTGTTGTGTGCAACGTCGAAATTTTTGACGTCGTTTTAGTTTGTTTCATACAGTTTTCTCATTCTTTTAAAAAGATGTGATATGAAGACAGTTTAATGGTTTCCCATGAAAGATCATTCATATTTCACCAGTATGACAAAATTTATACGAATCTTCATTCGTGTGAGGTATTCTGTCATACGTCTTGTAAACCCGTTTAACATCCTCAATATGTTATCGAGGATATGAAAGAGGAAACAATTTAGTGTCCGTAAACGACCCTTTTTAGGACATCCCCCCTGAAACGGTGCCCTAATTTTTCTCGAAAATACGCCATCTTTTATTTAGTTTTGGGGTAAGAGGATTTCAGGACAGTTCTAAAAAGGTTTCCTGCTATAGTTTATTCCATGCATCATATTGGGGTTTGGTGTTATGTATTAGTTCTATGTCGATGTCAGTGTCAGTTACTGTGAGGATATGAAAGAGGAAACAATTTAAATATCCTTTAGGTTCTATCACGGACTTATATACACATGTGTATCTGTATATTAGTCCGTGGTTCTATATATCACATAGCCACGGGAAGTTTGTCGAAATATCGTGAAATTAGTGATCCAATTATGATTAATAATATCAATTAGTAGCGAGCGCTTCATAGCTGATAATAATTACATATTAAACTTATATTAATGCTTCTGTAAGTTTTACCGGCACATATACGACGCAATTCTTAGAATTATTTCCCCTTATACACAGAATATTTCAAATTTCTTGCATAAATATCACCTAGTACGTAGTTTTTCAATTCTCTTGCTGCATTTGGTCTAGAAATGTGCGTTTTATCGAGATAAAGTCCTATACTACCTTCTGCTCTTCACAACTAAACATTTAGCATTTTTAGTGTGTATTTGTTCAAGGGAAGTAACCCCAATTACTACATCCGGTTGTTTACCTAGCAACGATGAAAAAATGGCGTCTTCATTGCCCCAAGGAGAAGGCTGATGTATTTTAAGTGATATATACCGTTATACTAAAAAGTATACTATTTATCTGTGACAACACGTAACAGGAACTCATTTCTGTGTTTATGTATCGTTTTTGTATGTAATGTCTGGAAGTAATATATCTTAACAGTGTATAAAGTTTGACGTTTCACAGCATAAACAAAACATGGCTGCAACACAAATGTATAACCCGGCAGGGTATTCAACCAACAGTATGACACAGGCGGTCACTTCAGAAAAGCCTGTTATACCTCTTGTAAAACACATCATTACAGATGAAGAGATAGGACTCCTCAAGGTAATTACTATTTTCACTTTATCATAATAGACGAACAGAAAAAATTCTAACAATATAAAGGGTATTGATTCCGACCTCTAAATAAAGGATGTTTTGATGAAACAAATGCTTGAATATGTACATTCTAAATACATGTTATTGATTACAAACAGTTTAAAGGGTTAAAATCGAAAAGAAGAAATATATTGAAGTGTCACAACCTTACCTGATATACATTTTTCATACATGAATACAATATCGTATTATGCAAATATTTCAAGGTTCTTACTTTATATTAGTCTTAGTATATATATTATATATCAAAATATTTCAGGGTTCTAAACTTCAACCAATCAACATGAACAGAGTTGTTAAGCTGTTGACAGATCCACATTCTGTAAGTATAAGTATGCATTGCAGTATGTTAAGATATTGTCAAATAATTTCTAATATCAGATGTTTTCTAAAAAATATTGTGAATATCAATATGATATTTAAAAATATATAAGTACATGTAATTTCATTTTCTTCTATTTGGTTTTCTTTCTTTTTGAATTTTAACGTAGAATGTAAAATTCTGTTTCAGTAAGTCTTCAAATGAAAGTACTAGTCCATGTTGTTTCTACATCTATTGAGGATAGGGTTTTATTTAGAATTTGCTTTTGTTCCATTCACAGGTGATGCTATATGACCGTCATATCAATGCATTACAGCGACTTGTAAGACATTACGAAAAGGGATTTGTATCCTTTTGTTAAAATCATTTTTTTTATTCACAGATTTTTCATTGTACTAAAAAATAATTAAAAAAATAAACAAAAATAAATCAATACATTGAAGAAAAAGAGAAAAAATATAAAAGCATAATTTTCGTGTGTTTTTTTTTTTTTTGTTATTTTTGAGAAACATTTAATTGAATTTTGAAGTTTGTCTGTTACCATCTTTGCTAGCCAAGGGTTACAATCCACCTTGGTAGATCATAACTTTTGGCTGGCAGAGATGGTCTATCACTTAGATGTGCTGTTATACTGTGGATAAAACTCTGTCCTATCGAAAAGTCTGTGAGTGTTTTTACTCTTTGTATCTTTACAAATACTGCAATCCTATTGATCATTGATATATTAACTTTTGCTAAAAAAGGTCTGGTTTCTGCCAATTGTTTGCACATCTCTCATATTTCCTTGACCAAGTTTTCAGCCAATGAAAGATTTAGTTCAGGTTTGTAAAGTCCTGAATGTTTGTTCAGACAAAACACAGGAAAGACCTATGTATGAAACACTCATCTGCGAAATCTTAAAAATCTGCAGTCTACCATTCTTAAAGGAAAAGTCCTCTGATGAACTCATCTATGAACAAATTGTCACTGAATCTGTATCCCAACTTGGTAAGTCTACTAAATGCATTTTGAACTACATGGGATTTATTTTAAAGAATTAATTGCAGACTGATGATGAGTTTTAAAATTATTAAAGCATATTGAAAAAAGATTGAACCTAAATTTCACTAGAATTAATAAATGCTAGACTGACGATAAATTTTAAAGTTACCAAACATTGGTAGAGAAGGATTTAAGAAAAAAAATCTGACCATACAAATATGAAATTGATATTCTTATTTCATGAATGGTTGACCTCAAAATCACCTTAGAAATCTGGCTGATTTTGTGAATGGTTTGTCAATTATTATGTACTGTATCGATTTCATTTTCATTCAGCATATCTAATGAGGGTGCCCAGTAGAGATGTGAGAAAACAGATATGTAAAACGTTGGTGAGCTTCTACACAGAAAAACCAGCATCACAGGAAGTACAGAGTAAGTACGTGGTAAAAGTCCAACTTAATTGCATGTAATGTTTTCTATTGTATTTGTATGTATATGCAGAAAAACTAGTATCATAAGATTTTTCTTCTCTTTTAAATATATAACATTATTTAAGAGAAATAGAATTAGAACAGTTTTAATTCAAATGTCTATTTCTGAAATTGTAAAAACAATGCATCCTCTTAGACTGAGAACAAATTATGAGATATACAAAATTTGACATAAATCTTGCTTTTATAACTAGGACTTTGTTTACAACATGTTTTGTTGTTTTTCAGAACACAAACCAACATCTATTTCTTACAACCAGAATATCATAGAAAACAGTGATGTCTCTGAGACACTTGTTAAGGTGAGCAATTAGCACTGTGATTTTCAATTTAAATTCATTTCGATTATGTTTGCCTAAAAAATATTTATCATAGAATAAGAGATAATTTTTACATTGTGAAGGTGTTAATTTTAATATCATGAAAATAATTATACGTATATTTCTTTGAATGAATGATTGTCATATAACCATAATTAAATGATAACTACATGATATATACATTTGTAGTTCTGCTCTTATCTTCAACACAAATCTTCACATTTTGATGGAATTTCATTATGGAAATAATAATTTTTTACATATGTCTGTATTACAGTCTCTGGCCCTCTTAGAGAATGACATAGCCATCAAACTGAATGTCTTAGATGTTCTCCAACATTTCTCAAAAAATTCAGGTGAGTTTTTAGAAAACAGGTGTCATTCATCGCCTTTGATGGGAGTCAAACCTTACACAAGTGTTTATGGTCTGATAGTATTTTGTTTTAACAGAAAGAAAACTACTACTCTAGAAGCCATTAATAGATTCCTAGGTTTTGGTTAAATCTGTAATTTTGATTAAAAAAACCCTGGAAATTTCGATTTAGATCTACTGACATGGTTGCAGACAAATTGTAAATCTTGGTTATGAGAAAGGTCCAGTGTCTGGATGAATAATGAATTATGTTTTGTTCCTATTATCAGCCAAAAACTGTGACCAGATGTTGAGGGTAGGGGCAGGTAACCGCATTTGTTCACGGATGACAGATGCTGACCCTAGTGGTCAGCTCTTGTTCCGCTCTGTTGACATCTTGTGGAACCTACTGGAGTTTGGTGATCAAGGACAATTATCCACACAGCTGGACAATCTAAACTGCATCAAGTGAGTTGACTTTTGGAAATTTCATTGCTTTTGAACATTACTGTAAAATGGTGGGACTCAATTTTTGTGGTTTTCAAGTAATATGTAAAACTGTCGACATTGATTCCTTAGATATATAGCGCCATAAATCTACTTATACCCATGAAATAATTAAAAAAAAATTCCTCACAAAAATGAATGATTTTACAGTATATGTTGTCTAAATGTATTCAGTTTTTGCTTGTTGATAACAACACTTTACCTCATTTTTTGGTTTTATCAATATGGTCTGTTTGTAGAATGTAGAATTTTTTTTTCAAAGACCTCTGATTTTCGTTATTTTTGAGAATAGAATAAAATAACAAATAACAGAATCCTTAAAAATATTGTTGATAGCAAAACGGTTGTCGGTTTTATGATTTCTATGAAATATTAATCCTTTTGCTTTAAAAAATATGGTAGAGTAGCGTATATCTAAACCATTGAAAAAATTACCTAACATCATGCTTTTTTCAGTAGAAGCATAAACAAATACTAATTCTATTGCTCTTTATCTGTCCTGTAATAAGCCCACCCCTTGACTTTGAGTCAGAAGTAATTGGTTGGCCAACAAGGCTATATGCAGGGTAAACTAGATACTTCAGATTTCTGATAAGCTGTACCTTTTGCCAAAAAATACAAGGTTTGGTAGGATTTTGAGCTCTGTCCGAAATTTTGGATAAATATATTTCATAAACTTTCTTTAATATATCTAGGTAAAAAAAATCTAAATTATTTTGCAGCCAACTGCGAGATGCTTTCATATACCAGCTCACCCAAGGTTACAGTCACTATGACCGTCAGCTGAGGAACGATCTGCTAGTGATCGCCACAATGATAGCCACCAAGTGTCCTAATGCACCATTTGTGGAGACAGGATTTGCAAAGCAGCTCACTCTCTTTGCCACTTTCCAGGAAGGTAAACAAAACAAAATCATTTACTACCATAGTGAAAAAGATCTCAAGCATTTTGATACACTCATGAAATATAGGCGGTAAATAGTGAAACATTTTCTACGATAAGTTAATTTATAAGCTTTGTTTATCTTATAAAAATCCTTATATCAACTTTTTTAAAATTACTTCTGTTGGCCTGGATGGTTGCATACTGTGAAAGGAGATTGGAGAGTCATGGGAAAATCCACATGCTTACACAGATGACCCTATATCTCTTCATGTCTGATCTGAAAATCAAATTCAAGTCACCAAGTGTGATAGTGCACTACCACTGTGCCACCCAACAACTTATTTATTTCCCATTACCTAAGATTACCTCTGCTTTAATTACAGTGAAAAGTCACAATGCCCTCGTGAAACATCTAAAGTTGATGAAGAACCATGAAGATTTTGAATTAAAGAAGCTTCTGTTCAACATCCTGGTTACCCTCAGTAAAAACTCCACAGCAGTCCCGGTAGGTTGTAAAAAATTAAAAGTGCTTTATTATGTTTTGTATGATTTTGCCAACACTTCTGATGCTATGACAGTATTGGAAATTTGATATTTTCATTATCTCCCCTATTGTTAAGACTGAATGACAATACCTTGTTTGTAATTTCCTGTCCAATATGATTTAAAAAATATTTTTTACAGCTGAAACTATGGAAATGTTATTTATTGACAATACTGACATGATTGTATGCTCAATATATGAGAGATTCACTCACATTACTGAGTAAAAATGATGAAAACAGAATTTATCCAAAATTCAAGAACTGACACTTTCCTTTTTAGTTACCATCGATACCACACACTTAACTTTAGGAATTGCCTTGAAATCCAGTCTGAATATATTGTGAGGTTGTTACCGACCTATTTTATACCTATTACCTACTGTAGAACAGTTTTCCAACTACCAATTCTTTGAAAACAGCTAAAATTCTGACCCACATGAACATCCAAATAAACTCCCTTTATACACCCCATATGAAATTAGAATAAAATCATTATGAACAAGTATCAGTATGTTTTTTTAAGTACTTATAACAATTATTAATGGTATCAGACTTAATTAAACATAGGAAAGCACATTTTACATAGATTAAATTTTTTAATATGCTATAAAGTAGCAGGAAACAGTTAACTTGCATTTTCTTAAAGTTATTGGTCATGTTGTAGATATACAGGTATAGCAGGATGATTATGAAAAATACACCATTACATATATATATATATTTATAAACAACATATTAATAACATTGACAGAAACAAAAGAAAAAATGTGTTTATCAAAAATTTCCTCGGATTTCTGAAGTGATAGCCATGGTTACCAACTCAAAAAATGCTAAAAATGCAAAAATACTGCTAATTCCAACACAACACCACAACTTTCTAGCAGAAATTTATCTCTGGACACCTGTCTTAAAATCTACAACACTGTAATGGTAACAAACTTCAAAATCAGAACGACTCACAACATGACTACATGTAAACACTATGAAAATTTCACTTTCTGTGAAGCTGGTTTTTGATGTGTAGGCACAGATTCGAGCCCAAATAGTTATGTCCAACACAATGCAAAAATATTCTTGAAAATATGAAACCCCACAATGTCCACTTCAACATGACTAGACTAATTTTAGCAAGGATTTATTTTTTTAACTTTTAATTAAAACCTATGTAATTGCGTAATCTAATAAACAAAAATATCACTTGTGGCTACACAGAGAAACTGTGAACTGCTACCAACAGGAAGATACTAACTATCTCCCCCTGTTATCAGGACAGACTAATATTGTCTTGTCTCCATTTGTTATTAATGCAGATAATACAAATTTCGGCAATGCACTAACTCCATTGTTGAAATCTCACTTTCATATAGACATCTGTTGAATTTTGGGTTATCTTCCCTTATTTTTTGTAATGGACTGATGCTGGCTGTGTTATCCCCTTGCTTTTGCCATGGATTGACTTGTGTGATTTTCCCCTGGCATTTGCATAGAGTAGAGCCAATAAGGAATTAAACTGCATTGTCCATCTAAGACTCATCAGTGATGGTAAGGACTAAACCTAGGAGGCGACTGAAGAAAATCCAAACTTATTTCAAGATATGTCAAAATCTAGATGAAGAGGTGCCATAGCACTACATGGTTATAAACTGAACTGTGCTACTATCCAAAAAGTGGCATGCAGGATGTCAGGAACTGAAAGCAGCATCTAAACTTCTTTGCCACAGACACAAGTTGACATTTGTACTTTTTCCCCTTGCCATTAAAATGGACAGAATTTGATGATTGTGTTTTCCCCCCAAGTTAAGCAGACAGATTGATTGGAAATGCGTCTTGATTTTAACTATTGTATTATCTCCCCTTGATGTGAAAACGAGAGGATGCTTATTTATGCTTATTAAGGGAAAGCTTATAGTCGCAGCTTTGTCCGTTTGTCAGTTATAATTTTTGTTCGGAACATAACAAAAACTATAAGAGGTATCAACGTAAAGCTTAAGAGGTAGATAGATCACAAAAAGGAGAAGTGCAGTGCACCATAACAATCACTCTCATATACATAAGTTAAGAGTAACTACCCTTTGTTACTTTTCATACTTAAATTTTGTCGGCAGCGTAACACTTAAACTACAAGAGGTAATAACATGAAATTTCATAGGCAGATAGATCGCAATGAGAAGGAGGGTAGTGCACAAGAATCATAGCTCCGTTATTGCCCTTTGTTATTTTCCATACCTAAATTTTGTCCTAATCGAGGAGTATAACCCATCTCTGATGGCCCTTGTTTGTTTATTTATCCTGTTATTGTTGACTAAGACCAATGTTGAATTTTCTGTCCTTCCTCAGGTTTTATCGGAGGGCCACTTGATGTTGTCATTGTTCAGTTTTGTACGAGCAAATGAAAACACAATGGGGGCCCGAGACTGGTCATCTGCTCAGTTTGAGGAAGTACAGCTACACGCCATGTCATGTCTGTGCGCACTCTGTCCTTTGATGATTGAGGACTACATGACTTGTCAAGGCAGTACCAGGATACTTCTCCTTCTCGAGTGGTGTGTTGGCAAAGGTAAATCTCTCTCAAAATTTTGATCTTACTAAATGAATAAGTGTAAGGGAAGTAAGGGAATGGAGCATTCTTAAATCAGTTTAGTTAACAGAAAAAAACTGCTTTGCTGTTGAGAAAAATCTATTTTCTACTTTGCAATTTTAAGAATTTCTGAATTATTATGCTTTTTATTGAAAATGAAATTCTATTCCAAAAAGAAAAAAAATGCAAAGATAAAAACAAAAACAAACAAATGATTTATTGATAGTAAATTCGTAAATTCAAGGAAGTAGAATCAGACCTGTCAAATTGTTATTGAATGGTTTCTATATTTACTAAAACATTTGTTTTCAAACTGTGCTTCTAGGCTCTTAGTGATTATGCTCTTTATGAAATTACATTTGCATTTGAATTTCATAATATTGAAACTCGCAAATCCAATCAGAAACCAATTTTATGTTTAATAAGTATTCATACAAAATGTCTGATAACCTGATTATCAGTCTCATCTTTTTTTCTTCTTATAAATCAACATTATTCTATAGTTAAGCACTGACTCATTCTTTTCCTTCATTTTGTAGAAGACTTTGGTGGCCATGGTAACAGCATCCATGGTACAGGTGGAAGGGGCAACAAGCGTGCTCAGATGCGTCACTGCCTGCGTTTGTTACGGAGTGTGGTATCAACAGGTGATGAGGTGGTCATTCAGGACCTTGCTGACCAGGGTGCCATCAACCAAATTATCAGTGAGTCTGAGAAAATCTGAATCCAAAAATCCAGTTAAAATAAAAAAAAAAAAATCATATTGATATCAATATCCAACAAATTAGTGATCAATAAACAAAAGTTTTCGACCTCCTTTGATAAAGGATGGAAGATTTTGAATGCCAAAATCTTTTCATTATCAATAGAGGTATGAGGGGATTATGCAGCAACCATGTTTGCAGATATCAAACTGAAGGGGAAAATGAAGCAAAAAGATAAACATTTGTTTTATATTCTCACTTCTTGCTAACTTACTTTCAGCAATTTTGTCAAATGCCATCCGTTGTAAAAGTGAGGATGATGCCATTGATGTAGAAATGCAGTCGGACATGTTGCTCATCCTTTCGTGTTTGTGTGATGGAGATATGCACAGAAAAGTAGGTTGAATCATCACTCTTTTTACCTATGAAGTAAAACCAGTTTCCCTGCTGGAGTTAAAACCTGTCTACACGGAGCAGGTGTTTAATGATATCGATTCGTAACATAATATACTTCAATTACTGATTTCACAATTTCTGATTATTGTGTTTGATTAACAAAAAATCCATATTTGATTATAAGCCTACCCAGTGTTTTTGTTATATCATTCAGTGCTCCTATTATAATTTTAAAACAAGGGGTACATTGTATCCTTAATGATGCAGCTATATACAGGAGTTCTTGAAAATCAGGAGTACATTTTCTGAATTTTGCCAATTTTAGGTGTTTTGTATCCTCACTCAGGGGTAATACTGTCATTGCCCTGAAATAAGCCCACCTCCTTTGAGTTATAGGCTTTTTGTCGACTCTTTGAGCTTATTGCAGAATAAATCTGTTAATATTATACTTGTGCAAATGTTGGCAGTCATATATACCGTACATCTGGTAAATCTTACAGGTTGTGATTTTCTGATAAAACAGTCAGATTATAATGTATATAACAACAAATGAAAATTTCGTGATCTGGATGTAAAAGAACATCTAATACATACATATTTCATTATTTCTTGGGTTAAGTTTGCAATGTAGTGCGAAAAAGTGAAAATATAATTCCTGGAAAAATAACCAGCATTACCCGGCTTTATGATGGTTCTTTGGTGAGGTAGCTTCATCATGGTCACACAGACCTGTCAGTAAACAATAAATATATATTCACCTATACTAGCTTACTTCTTAACTATTGGCATTAAATTTTCATGTCAGTGAGTCTCTGTTTGCGTTTTGGTACTTCTGCTGATATCAAGCTATGTTGACAGGAACTTTTTGGGACTAATGGTGTGGACGTCACTATACACTATCTAAACACAGACTCCAAGCTTTTGAGTAGTGGCCTGGGACACCATCGTCTTCTTCTGGCAGCCGTGGACTGTGTTTGGTAGGTAAACCATATACCTTATGAAACCTGTCTATGCTGCAACTTGTGTATCATGCTTATTCAACCTAAGATCCCAGTTGTATAAGATTGATCTCTCCTGAGGACAATTATGTTTGTCAGGAAGCTGATATCACAGATAATCTGAGCTGTCTTAGTTGTGTCTTTGAGCAAGACATTGCAACCTAATGTCTTTGGATGGTGATAGACTTCCTGTGTGTTGTTTAGTGAGGAAGCCACCAGTTTTTACAAGGAGGCCCCCACCTTAAAATGCCTCTGGTTGTTCACAGGGCAATAATCCAGTTAACACATACAATATACATCAAAACTTTCATCTATGAACCACTTGATATTTTGTCTTTAAAGTGCATCAGAATAATTAATTTCACACTGGTTTTGAACGATTTCTGAATTAACTCACAAAGTGCTATCATTATAGTGTTATAGGTATATTTTTATCTGTAGCTTTTCATTGAACAAATACTTCATCAGCCAAAACACATCGGATTCTCTTGATTAACAAATTAACTGAGGTTATATGTGTCCTGCAATAAATATGTTAAATGGAGATTTTTGCTCCATGTTTCTGCCAACAGAAATCTGTCAGGCATGTTAATCCATCTAGTAGCATAGATCCTAAAGCATGATTCTGTTCGCTGAGTGTGTATTTGCCAAACGAGTTGTCAGAGAATCCATTGTGCTGTGAAAGTTATGAAGCTCTATTCTATTAGAACAAAGGTGACCCAGAACAGCTAGCAAAACAGTCCAATCTCCACAAAGTGAATATTTATTAAGTCCAGATGGTAACGGCACGTTTTTGGAAGCTGTGAGAATACTTGAGTGTGAAGAATGTAGATAAGAGAGCTCATCGTTACAGTGTTAATGTAACGTTACATGGCAATAAGTCATGGATGCAGGGACAACTTGGTGGGTGAAGATTCCGCTCTTCTGTCTTTTGATTAAGATCTTTTCATTATATCCTGCTTTTAAATCTCATCATATGTTTCTGCTCAGTATGATTGAGGTATTGCATCACTTTGTTAAAACTGAACTTTTAGCTGTTCAGGGGTTTCCTCATACTGTATGACCTTGAACTTGGTTGTTTTCTTCTGTTTACACATATGTAAGTTATAAATAGGAAAACTTCCTTATTCTGTGATCTATCAATTTGATAGTGGTGTAAAATACACAAGTAAAATGTATATGTAGAAGATATTACATGAGTGTCATTGTAATACATACATGTATTGAATTTATCAAATGAGTTCAACAAATTTCTTTATCATGAACCTTTAAAAAGTTTATTAAATTCAATATAACATTGTTGAAGATTCTGTTCATCATATAACCAGTTTTTCTGAAAAAATAAACACTCTCAAATCAGTTTTCTTATAAGACAGACATCTTCAATGACAGACATGGCATTTTTCACTAGGAGACTATTGTGCGACGTTGTCAAGCTGTGACTTATTTATAGTGTCACTAATGTTTTTACATATTTGTCTAGTGATATTCATGACATGGCCATATGACATGACAGGCCATATGACATGACAGGCCATATGACATGACATGGCCATATGACATGACATGGCCATATGACATGACATGGCCATATGACATGACAGGCCATATGACATGACATGGCCATATGACATGACAGGCCATATGACATGACAGGCCATATGACATGACATGGCCATATGACATGACAGGCCATATGACATGACATGGCCATATGACATGACAGGCCATATGACATGACAGGCCATATGACAGGCCATATGACATGACAGGCCATATGACATGACAGGCCATATGACATGACATGGCCATATGACATGACAGGCCATATGACATGACATGGCCATATGACATGACAGGCCATATGACATGACAGGCCATATGACATGACATGGCCATATGACATGACAGGCCATATGACATGACAGGCCATTTATGTGATAAGTTGAATTTGACACATGATATTCTGTAAAGTTACTTTAATTTCCTGGGGACAATGTTTCACGATTGTTGTCGATAGTTTACAGAAATCAATTTCCACAAAGCATCCTATTTAGCAGCCATGTCAACTAGCATTATGAAATATATTTTAAGATTCCTATTCACTATTACTGTCAATATTTGCTGTGTATTTCCACCTGTCTTAAATTACTGCAAATATAGTGAAATTAAATACCCCTTGTTATAAGATAAGATAATAAGATAAGATAATAAGATAAGATAAGATAAGTTTATTTCCGGTTCAGGACGTGCTTGAGTCCTCTATACCAGACTCAATAATACAACTCAACTCTTTACAGTAATAATTAACACAGGTAAAGTTATACTATAGATTTGTGCCATACATTTGATTGATGTACGTGCCAAGAGTGACTTGTGGTATAGCTTTTGTTCTGTAAATAGCCCATGTCTGTTATTCCCATTCAATATGATTATAAACTAATACTATTCAAATGTCCTATAATTTTGTTCAAATGTATATATTTTAGCAGAAATATTGTTTTAATGCTTATTGCACTACAGATATTGTGCTAAAATGTGTTTGTATGTTATGGATATAGCAATAATTGCGCATTGATCATTGCTTTCATTTGTTCAAATTTGATATTGCACTAAAATTTGGTTTTACCAAGATAAATATGTTTACACTTGGTAAACAGGTAAACAATTGCCACATTTAGATTTTTGTTTATTTCACACTTGCCAGCATGGTTGAAATAGTCTGTAAAAGCTAAAGACAAAAAAGAAAATAAAAAAACAAAACAGTAAAACGTTTTGTGCATTTTAGGAAAAAATTGTCTCTTTATAACAATAAACAGTTTTATGTTATGACAAAACGAAACTAGCTAGCTTGGCAAATGATTCACTGAACACAATATTCTGTTTGCCCCTGGGCTTATTGTGGGATAAATATCAGTGATTGACAGAATAACGATGTAGAAATTATTGTATTACAACCAGTCAAATAAACTAAAAGACAGTTCATGAAGCATTTCTCAAGAAGAAAATTTGTTCTGCAATAGAAAAAATTGACAATATTTCAAAATTAAATAAACTGAATTATTTCTTTCATTAGTAACCATAGCAACATTTGGCAGATTTTACAAAACTGCTCTGAGAAACCTGATTACAGATAACAGAACACTGTATGATTTGTTTATGTTATTCTTGTACAGGTGCTCCATCGTAAACTGCTACGGAACAGAGGATTACTTCCTGGAGAAGGAGGGTGTGTTTCTGCTGATTGATCTGCTAGAGGTAAGCCACACCCCCTTAATTAATTCACTGATTAGCTATTTATTGGAGTTGAAAGTCTGGGGAGCTTAATCACAAATTTTCACAGCAGAAACGTTCTTTACTGAGGCCTGTTTGTAAATAATACATTTGATACTTATATTAAATTTTGTGAAAACAGTTGATTATTAATCTCACCTAAGAATGAATGCTTACAGTATGTGAAAAAGAAAGTCGATAATGGAATTAAAAAGATATGAAATATTACAAAATAGTATTTACATTTGCTTATCCTGAATATGATGACTTTATCTTATTTCTTGTAAATAAACCCATGTCTTGTAATAAGACCATTTAGTCTGGCCAGTCAAAAAATTGATCCAATAACATTTCATCGTCCTTTGATGAACCCACCCTCTTCTTCGATTTTATGTGTTTTGTCTTGTACCTGAATGGTATATGATAGCAGATATGTCTATATATATCATAAGCATACTTCTGTACTCTTACCAATTTCTGGTCAACTGTACTCTTAAAGGCAGTGTTTCATAATTATTTGAATAAAGGCAATTTAAAAAAAAATTCATATTGAACATTTTACAAAATAAATCCAGTAGTGACTATTTAACTGAATCCTGGAAAATAACAAAAAAATAAAAAGATAAATAAATAAAATAAAATAAATAAAAAAATCAAATAAGAAAAAAGAATACCACTGAAATAAGCAACTCTTTGGTAATGACAGTTTCAGACTTCAATCATTTTTGAGAAAAGAAGGATTTTGAAAGTTAACTAAGCATGTATAATTTTGTGCACTGTAGGAATTTCCTCATCGGTGTTTGTGTGTTAAATTGTTGTGTTCGTTCAATCAAAGCATTAATCTGTGTTGTAATGAGAAGTACACTACTCTACTTTCATGGTACATCTGTCTTTTATCAGCAAAGTTTTTTTTTTATGTAATCAATTTAAACTAGAAATAACACTGTCAATTTAAATGTTGATTATAAACCATTAGAAGCTGTCGGTTTAAAATCAATTAGCAGTGTAAGAATTGCTTTTTATGATGTAAAAATGGATGTGAAAGCAATTTGTACTGTAATTCACACACATTACATGATAAATTGCTGTTTGTACTTGGCATTAATGAAAGTTATGAGCAGAATTGCTTTAAGAAATCGTTGGAAAATTAGAGAATGAAAATGTGATTATGATGGAGCTTGAAACCTCTGTAAAATGAAAACTCATTCAGATTCTTGCCCATCTGCTAATGATTTAAAAATTTAGTGCTTCTTACGATTTATAATCTAATGATCTAATGAATATTGATTGATTTGACAGTTGATAGAATTGTTTGGTAAAGGCATGTTGTGTTGTTTATAGATTGATTAACAAGTGCCCACCATGTTCTCGGTGTTGCTTGGTTCTCTACACGTAAATGTCCCCTATATCAACTACTTATTTTAGCCAGTTCTTAATTTGTATTTTATTTCTTTTCTAATGGAGTTATGCCCCATATTGTAATAAAAATGTATTTCTCATTGAGATCTCCTTAGATTTCTATGAGACATTTCTTTGTAAATTTGAACAGAAGGTCAGTGTAAAAGGTAGCCAGTTTTATTACAAATGGTAGGAATTAAAAAAAAACAGACTTAACACCGACAAGTGAAGGTCAGAGGTCAAAGAAAACAAAGTGGTTCATAGGTATACCTGAAGCTTTTGTTTACTTCTGTAGGTGTGTCCTAAGAACATGCATAACCTGATACTTGGCTGTCTCCTAGACTTGTGTGAAAATCCAAAGACAATTCACCATGTGCTCACCTGGCGTGGTAATGACAATGCCTCAGCTCCCCATCTTTTTTGTGAAATTTTCCGTAATGAAGAACGTGAGCTCGGAGTGAGGCGTACTAAGGATGGAGCCATCTTAGACCACACAAGGCCTCTAATGGGTGTCCTCCAGGAGAAACAAGGTGTCATTCCTCAACCTGCTGCAAACCCAAGCCAGGCCATTGTGGATGTGTCTGAGAATATGCGAGCCAAGATATACTCCATCTTCTGTAAAATAGGTAATGATATTTGCAGAAAATCTCAGTGTTCATCATGTAAGTCAAACGGTGAGCCCATATCTGGGCATACTGTAAAATCATTACATCAGATTAAGTGTCGTAATCATTGTAAAAGGGTTGTTATTTTGGTGGATTCTCTATTATTCTGGTCATTTCAAGGAAGAACTAAAATAACAGTAAACAGATACATTGAAAATGATGTTTGATAGTGAATACCATAGCCCATTGCAAGTCTTCCATGAAACTACATTAGTTTGGTTACATGCCAAGAAAAACAACCCACTTGTATTTTTTTGCATGTATCTTCGCTGCCTATTGGTCACAAGTTGTACTGGGGCAAAACACTGCTGACCTCTGGTGTCATTTTTGTCTTTCAGGATTCACCGATCTACCTGGTCTGACTGTAGATGACCATGTGACCTTGACTGTTGTGGAGAAATACCTTGACTTTAAGGTAAAATGTTATAATATATTGGACACATGTACACATCTACTGTAGGTATTCTAACTGATATAAAGGATTTAAGTTTTCATTTCAAGAGATTTTATGTATTAAGTCTTAGAAGTTTTTATTTTTGCAAGCATAGACAAGAAAAAATTCAAATTTCAAAACAAATTTTATGAAATCTGATATGATAAGAAAATAAAAAATAGATACTTTTAATCACGTAACTCAAAAAGTTACGTTTTGACAGGTTTAATAGTGAAAATGTGAGGAAAAATTCAAATGAAGGCAACTGTTTTATTGTGCTTTTTGTTAGGTTGTGATGTAATGTTATCATCCATATGATGACATCATAATCAATTTGTAACCAACCCAGCCAATGCAAAACGCCCCAGGGTATATAACACTAGTGACATATACCATGATATTACAGTCACTTGATAACAGGTGGATTATGTGATAAAATGATATCTAACTGAATTTTGTCTGTATAAAACAAAATTTATTTCTGATGCCCTTTGTAGAAGAAAGGTTTGCTTTACTTGTATCTGTAGCAGATATCATGAGTGGAAAAAGAATGAAAATAGAATTTGTACTTTTTTTCAAATTTTCTGAAATATATTCCCATGTCAAGTTCAATCCCTCTCACCTCCTCTGATCTCGATGAATCATATAAAAATGACTCACAAGCTCGAAGTGCTACCTTACAGATCTAATAGACAACGACGTTTGATCTAATAATCCTGTAACAAGTGTTATTTTGTAACGTATTATCAATACCTGTATGTATTTGTGGAGCTTGTGTAGCAGTTTTCATCAGAGATGTTTTCAGACGTCGAGATGTTTATCCATTATACATGTACTTCAAGGGTAAACAGTTTAACTACCATCCTTGTTCAGCATTTTTTCGTACTACAGTAATACAGTAAATTGTGAGCATCTTTGTATGTTGTTTTTCAAAGCATATATTGTTTGTATGTTAATTCAGTATCACACTAACCTGTCTGAGTTCTATAATATGCTGAGTATTATAGCTGAACTAAGAATGTTTTGATAAAGTTTAAATGATAAATAATCATGTAAGGGTGACAAAAATACCAGTTTGTAAAAGTAATAGCCAAACAAAATGTTTTATCAACTAAAATCAGCTAATAATGGATGTAGATATTTGATTATCAGCCTGAATTAAGCTTCTGTGTGTAGTAGATTTGGTGATATCAACCATCAAACACAGTAGTTGATTATCATTTCCAATGATAAACGAAAGGATGCACCCATGATATGGGATTTATACTTACATGTCTACAATCTGTTTAAGTTACTATTACTATAAAATTACAATCACTACTGAGATTATAGAGCTGGATTATCCACCAAATCAGATGTCAATTAAAATTGAGTTTTAAAAAAAAAAAATAGAATTTGTGAAGATAAAATATTTTACGGTAGTTTATACTTGTATGAATACGCTAATCCAAAACTTGATGTTTGCCGGTGTTAACAGATGGGAGAAGTGTGGAATGAAGTGATCGCTGAGCTTAGTGAGGAACAGGTTCGACCTGTCACCCCTGACCTTGAAGCTATAGAAGCCATCTCAAGGGCAATTGAAGAGCGTGTACACATCGTGTCTGGTACACAACAAGAACTGTTAGAGGCCCAGCAGAATCAAGATGTCCTTGATGAGCAGGAATTCTATGCTGAGGTCAGTACAAGGCATCTCTCATGCTATAAGCCTGTGCCTTGTAATAGACCCTATTTCAGTTTTCATCAAAATGACAATCAGTACCATTGTCCTAATACATTTTTGTTGCCCAATAATATGCCCTTCCTAATTATTTATCGTTGCCCTACAATAAGCCCATCCTAAAGCTGTATCACTGTGGTATCTTAGTTAGTCTTTGTATAAAGTTCTAAGTAGTATTATATCTTTTATCTATTATTGATGATTTTCTTTTCTGTTGTGCAGATCCGAGAGAACCACAGACAAAAGGAGAAGGCTATGAACGATTTTGTAGACTTTGTTGCCAGGACATCAAATTTTGCCCTTTTGAAGGTCAGTATCCAATGGTTAAAAATTTCAAATAATTTCATCAAAAATCTAGCAGAATATCTAACATAGTATTCTAGGCATGCGATGGTTTATAAAAAGAAAAGGCCCATGGTTCTGCTGATGTGCTAGGGTGGCAAGTTTCTAGGTAATGGCCCACATAACCCCAAGTGAAGTTCTGAGGTTTGTGGTTTGATGCTTCCCAGTTGTAGCAGTCTTTGTTTCTCAGGAGATATGGACGGGTCTGTGTTTCTCAGGAGATATGGACGGGTCTGTGTTTCTCAGGAGATATGGACGGGTCTGTGTTTCTCAGGAGATATGGACGGGTCTGTATTCCTCAGGAGATATGGACAGGTCTGTGTTTCTCAGGAGATATGGACGGGTCTGTGTTCCTCAGGAGATATGGACGGGTCTGTGTTTCTCAGGAGATATGGATTTTGGATGTCATGCAATGGGCCTTGTGTATTTTGTTCATTTAGATAGCCACCAGTTACCACAAGGAGGCTCTGCCTTAAATGAATCTGACAGTTCTCGGGCAATAAACCCAGCGAACACAAGATAACAATAACTTTACCATACAAAGTAAATGTTTACTGAAAAATATCTAGACCTGTGAGTTCTTATCCTTGAAATAAGATGGATGGTATCATAAGGTAATCCATCATCACATTATTTTCCTTCGTTGTTCTTGACTTGCCTCTGACAACTGAATGTATCTTGTTTCAGTTACAGATATTTCATATCTTTGTATGAAATATAATGGCTTTTGCTGTGCAAACAGAATATGCCATTTATTGTAAGAAACTATATTATAAAAAGTCTGCCTTATTGATTATAGGCTTCTGAAGTGTGGGTTTTTGATTTTTTCCCTATGTACCATTGCCTGTGGAAGTTTTGGTTCTCTTTTTTGTTCAGGATAGTATCTTCAACGATTTTTACGATATCATTCGTCATGAATCTGGAACATAACATAAATATCTTCCATTTCGGATGAGAATTTTGTAAAATTGACTTAATGCGACTAAATGTATTTGCAAGTTACTGTGTAGCGCTTTCCCATACACTTTAGTACTTATGACTCATAGCAAACATTTGAATGGGCTGGAGCTCCTATACACATTTTCACCCATACTAATCACAATGGTACACCCCAGACAAATACACAGAAGAATCCATTCTTATACAATAGGGAAGTCGAAATAAAGAACAAACATTGATGTAATTTGAATTAAAAGTCCTGTTATGGTAATGTAATGGGGTCCTCAAAGTCAACAGATCTCTGGCTACTGACTTACTACTTTGTCTCTTGGGAGGTGTTAGCTGGTTGTTGGGGGCTTTTCACATTAAAAAAACGAAGCTTCTGTTTTGTGAGAGTGTTAAACCGTCTTTGGTAAAAAAATTTAAGGTATTGATTGATGTTATAATAACTTCTATATTTGCTGTAAAAGGACCAGTTTTATATCCATAATTTATCACATTTTATTCAGAACAATGATTTCATTTAACAAGCATATAACAGAAGTCCATTCATTATTGTATTTCTCTGACATTTGCTACAAAAACGGCTGTCCCAGTAAGATTTGTGAAGTTTTTAAACATAATTACTTTTTGACCAATGAAACACAACTTAACACTGTATTTAAGTATGTTATTTTATGCTTGTTCAATACTGTATGTTTGACATTTACAATACTGTATGTTTGACCTTTACAAAACTGTATGGTTGACCTGTTTAAGATTGTATATGTGACCTTTACAAAACTGTATGGTTGACCTATTAAAGAATAAATGTATGACATTTACAGTAGTGTATGTTTGACCTATTTAAGATTGTATGTGTGAACTTTACAATACTATATGCTTGAAATATTTAAGAATGAATGCATGACCTTTACAGTACTGTATGTTTGACCTGTTTAAGAATGTTTATGTGACCTGTTGGATACGGTTTGGTTGACCTGTTTTAGATTGTATGTATGACCTGTATGATACTGCATGTTTGACCAGTTTAATATTGTATGTATGACCTTTACAGTGCTGTATTTTTGACCCATTTCAGAATTAATGTAGGACCTTTAACCTTTACAGTACTGTATTTTTGACCTATTTAATAATTAATGCAGGACATTTACAGTATTGTATATTTGACCTATTTAAGAACTAATGTAGGACCTTTACAGTACTGTATTTTTGACCTATTTAAGAATTAATGTAGGACCTTTACAGTATAGTATTTTTGACCTATTTAAGAATTAATGTAGGACCTTTACAGTAGTGTATTTTTGACCTATTTAAGAATTAATATAGGACCTTTACAGTACTGTGTGTTTGACCTATTTAAGAATTAATGTAGGACCTTTACAGTACTGTATTTTTGACCTATTTAAGAATTAATGTAGGACCTTCACAGTACTGTATTTTTGACCTATTTAAGAATTAATGTAGGAACTTTACAGTACTGTATTTTTTACCTATTTAAGAATTTATATGATTATGTGTCATTAACAGGCTGCTGGAGACCGACAGGAACTTTCCATTGAAGCATCCAGGTTACAGAACAAATACAAGGAAAGGTAAATCCTCGAATACTCAAAGTCTTCTTTCATTTTAGAAATGTTAGAATTGCAGATGTTTACAATTTCATGAAACAATAAGATTATCTTGTTTGCATCTCACAAGATGATGGTGGCGATGATGGAGGCAATGATGATGATGATGATGATGATGATGATGATGATGGCTTCCATCATGTTCTGTGTAAAACATTCTATAAACAAACATTAGAATTCCGATTGAATAATTTGAACATTTGTGAAATGAGATTTTAAGGGGTATAACTCATCAATGTATCTCATTTCAGCAGTTTAAGTAATTCTGAAAATAAAAGTGGAATAAACCCGTCCTACATTTTACTTACATTGTAATCATTAGACATAAACAGGAAACAACTCTGTTTTTACTGCAGAATTAAATTCCTGCAATTATTTTTTTATTTGAAATAAGTGATGATAGAAATGAAGCTATTTTCAGACTAATGCAGAAATTTATAAATGGTAATAAAATACAAACCACTAATTTCATTGACTTGAATTGGCTTTGAAAATTTCAAAAATCACAAAAATACTGTTTTTCATTGTTAAGTAGTAAACTCAGTTAAGATAAATTAGACATCACTATGACTGAGAAAGAGATTATAGGAATATAGATACTAAAACGAGCTAGAAAAAATGCTATTTTGAAAGGTAATTTGTGTATTGGTAAGATCTGAAATAGACTGGTGAGGACAGGGTGTGTAAGTGACTGATTGGAGGTCTGATTACGTGAGACAAACCGCTATGAAGGAGGTGCTGGGGGTGAAATGTCGGTGAGTGACATGGGTTTGTGTTACCAAACTGGATTATTGATCACGTAACATTGTTTTTTTTACAGTGAGACCTTCCACAGTACTGACCTAAAGGCACTCCACACCACTGTAAGTATAGCAATCAGCGACAGGGGCTGACTCATCTATCGGGTGTCCGCCACATCGCCATCACAACAAATGTAGATACGTAACAGGACCTCATCCGTATCACTTGATAACATGTTAATGTAATAGAATATTCAAATAAATGTACGTCAGGACACCACCTCAAATACAAGACTTAATAACCTATTTCAGAGTATCCCAAAACTGTACGAAACTGGATATCGTCTCTAAAGTAACGTTCGACAAACAAGAGCAGCATATCCCAACAGTTGTACAGCATAGAGGACATAGCCTCAGTATTAACTCTTGATAATATATTATCATAATATGACATCCACAAAATGAACATACGTAAGGGAACATCACCTCAGGAATAACACATTACAACATATTTAGACAAGATGACCCAACAACTATGACCACTTGATGTCCTAGGAATTGAATAAACACTTTAAACATTATACAGAGAATGACAACACAGCTGTCACTTAAAAAGATAAATCTTCTTTTAAAACGATCGAATTATATTTTAAAGAATTAAAATATTAAGCTCTTGATGAAACAGGATATACACATTATTTCACGGAATGAATTTTCGCGATTACTTGGGTATAAGGCGAAATAGCGAAAATATCCCCGCGAACATAACCGGCTCTACGGTAATTCCATTCCACATTGATATTTATCAGATTATGTTATTTTAGTTTTACTTTTGCCAATAGTTCCAGCTGCAATGCTGCGCCGAACACGTATGTTTTAACTACTCCTTAACACGCTGACGAAAATAATGGAACAAAACCTCCGATCCTGCATGGTCCAACTTGATACAGCGAATCTATTTCTTTACCTAAATCACTGGGGGTCATTTACCTCAAACATCTATCAGGAAAAATATATTCCCCTTTACGTTTTGGTTGGAAAGCTTTTGAAATTTCTAAGAGCATAGAAACACTTCTAAGTAAATACCGTTCTTATTCTCAGACCTGATAATGTCACTAAAGTCCACTGGCAAAGATTTTCCGCAGTTGTGTGTTTCAATTGAAGCGGCAAAGGACTTCCCATAAACGCCACATAAATACAAGAAGTGTCAGGGGCGTATCGATTTTTTTAGGATTTACTGAAACAGCAATTCGATGTTTTTATGTATTGTCAGCACTTCATTCCTGTACGAGGTGTCTTGTTAGATGTGCTACGTAGATTTATTCACTAGAAGATATCGCCTATGGTTTTAACTGATATATTGGATCATAGTTCAGTAAGGAAGCCAAACTTTCCATACAGATTTACAAAGCTGTGTTCCATTCTTACATCTGACACAGTGAAGTTGATTTGGATTGTTGAAATTTTCTTCCTTTCATCACGAGCTTGATGTAAAAGGAAAGTCTTTTTGTGACGGATTTGAGGAAGCCACGGGAAAGACTACTAGTATAAAAAAGGTTGATAATGTTATTTTCAAGGTATCTGAAAAGGAATTCTTTAGCGCATTTGCGGACACGAACTTCATGTATAGGATATTTATTCATTCTATTTTCAAACATCTTTTATTCGGAAATATGTTCCATCAATGAAATATTGAAACCCCCGAACACGAGTTACACTGTACTGAATCCTGAAGGTGTCAGCGATATACAGTATATATCATCTTAATTTCCCGCGTTCTTGTATGTCTTTATTCCAGATTGAGTTTTATCAGGTTAGAAATAATGTATGCTTTATTTTTTTATTGGTCAGTCCGTGGCTAAAACGTTTGTTTGTAAGCTATAAAATTGTATTAATCCAAATAAATATGTTGAAATATTGATGGAAACGAACAACTGTCGAACAGTACCTATACAACCCCTGTATGTCTTAACAGATATCGCTGTCAGTTTGTACGGTTATGGTATACATACTTGATATTCTCCTTAGAACTATCTGTAGTATTTGATAATCAACGTGTCATATTCTGTCCTGTAGACGTTCAGCGGCCGCAATATTGCAGTAGAGAGTACTTCACACAAACTCACTGGTGGACCTCTCAGCAAATATGATCCCAAAACTGGAACTCTGCGAGAGAGAAAGTTCATTAAACAGCTGACCAACGTCAGTGCTAAATAAGGTATGTTTGAATCTGTCTAGGTTTTCAACAGCAATGCTTTCTCTTAGTGGATTCAGATTTTCCTCACTGGTATATACTTTGTTAATCGAGGTCAAGGAAATATAGAACAAACGAAAACAAAGATCTACAAGCAGTTGATTTATTATAGTACATAGAAATTTTATCAAGAAGCATATGGTGTTTGATTCCAACCAGACATAAGAATTGGCTTTGTTGATAACATTACAAAGTGATTTATGCATTGAATTAGAATAGCAAAACGATATTCAACCATTCGATATTTTTATCGTATCAAATTTCCGATTATAGATTTATTACCTGAATTACATTTTTGTTCAGTTTTTCACACCTGGAGAATACCTCTTGATATCAATTATCGCTTCATGTCACAAAGTTACCGTTAACTTGGGAAGAAAGCGAAAATTCGATTTTCGAAAAAGGCGAATACACGAGTGGTAATTTCAAATTGGCATCGCATGTATTCATTATAACTGAGTAGTTTTATCTAATGTATTAATAAACTTGTATTGTCAGCTGCTGAGATCACGTGATCAGATGAGAGATAATGACATAGAAGGCGTTTGTGTAAGCGTTCTCCTGATTCAGACGCCACAGAAATTCTACAATAGTGACTAAGAACCACGATCTGTTACATATCACATGGAAGCAGTTGATCTACTTGGATTTATCCCAAACATGCTGCCCACTTTCTGTTACAAACGTTATGCTGATCAGCAGAAATGATGGAGAGACTTGTATGACCAAGCCAACGTGTTATTGTGAATAAAAAGATGATAAAAAGATATGTAGATGGGATGCACTGTCTATTTGTATTGTTTTCTCACATGTATACTAAAATATAAAAAAAATATGTGATCAACTTTAATCTGTGTTTTAATAACTATATATTGACAGATTTTATTCTGATCAGTAACATTTTAAAGAAAAGTATATAGATATAAAAGAATGCCTTTAATTTGTACAAAGAGCGTAAATAAAACTTCATGAAATCTATGTGTTTAATTTTTTATATTTTAATTCAATGTTTCGTCTATATATTATTTCTTTGCGAAAGGAAGTGAAGTGAAATATGCAATTAAAAAGAAAATAACGGAATAATTTATCCTACACTGGGTGGATATGAGGGAAATACCTAAATAGAAAAGTATCACGTGGCTGTAGAATATAATATGTTTGAAAAGATATTTCTTTGTTCTTCTGATACTTTATCAAACAAACATGTGCTAAAGTTTGACTGAAAATATAGAAGCTGGAATGATAAGTATATTCGCTTACAGTGATGTCATGTTTCTAAAAAATATACTTTTCCATTTCAGTAATTCTTAGTTCTCTATTCATATACTATTATTGGCATTTCTTTCAAAAATGTAAAGAACTTAAGTTATTGAGAATGACCTACTCATTCAGCTGCATAGCCAGTCATTGATGTGGTTGCTTCTATTTTTAAAAAATGATGAATGACTATCATAACCCAATAGAAATTGCAGAGGAAACTGAAATGTATCAAAATATTTTATAATCATATCTCTTTAATCTCGTCAATGTTAGGATAATTAGCAGTCTAATAACTGTGAAAAGTGTTGAATTCGGATAGCACATTGAACATTAGTGCAATTGAAAACAGTTATTATCTAGGGTATATTTTTTATTCATTTGACTTCTCGGAGATGTGTAATTCTCTTACCGATATTTTCCAGTTATTTTTTCTTTTAAATGCACGTAAAGAAAACAAACTGATGAAACATATTGGTTATTACGAAATTAAGGTGTATCATTAAAACATTGTAACAAAAGTTGCTACGGACATTGTTTATGTACATCATTTTGGATACCAATTTTGAATAAAATATTTTCCGAGTTTTGCGGGTTTTAGTTTTTATTTATTTAGCTTATATTTTCTGGGGCAAAAATAACAATTATCATTGGGAGATAACACCAATTATGTTCGTCGAACAAGACAACAATTTTCAGATTAAATATTCCATCAACCTCAGTATATAAAGTAAATCACTACAACCACCCGCGCATGTGGAGACATAAGAAAAACAAGCAAGTTAAACATTACATGTCCTGATGCCTATAATAACTTAATGGAAACTGCACAACAACTTGTGTGTACTTAGGAGGGTATAATTTTAAAGTCCTATAGTACAAGTTTCAAGAGCAAGCATCAATAAGATATATGGCGTACCATTGATGTATACTGAAGGAATAGTGTAGAAACTATATCCGTATGATATAGACATTCGCTGAATACGTGTTGTATAATATATCTGTATAAGCTATCTGTACATTATACCAACATAGATGGATGAGTCAAGAATTTGTCAAAATAGTAATTCATAAAAATGAAAAATGTCTTATTTTCACATCCACAAATGTGGGGCGATAGTGCGCGAAGCATGCCTGCGACCCGATTTACGGAAGAATAACGCAGTAAAAACAAGTCGTATATGGTGGTGATCTAGCTCTTATTATGTTGTTTTCTCTTAAAATATGGAAAGATGTTACTTAAGTTAGGAGCAAAGCAAAAACATTTATATGAGAGATGGGCAAAAGTAGTGAAATATGCTCCCAAATTTCATATATGGAATATGAAAGTAGCAATTATGTTATATACGGTCCGTCTCATTATTTTATCAATTAAATCGACTTCATGTAAATCCTGCTAGATGGAATATGATCATCGGATTTCAATTCGAAATAAAATGTGTTAAATATAATTTTAATTTACCTATAAATAAAATATATAAAAAAGTTAAAATAAGTTGGGATATGATGCAGCTGAAGTGATAACAATTGATATACAATACATATGGTGTAAAGCAATTATATTCCATTAATATAAAATACAGGTTAGTGTTCAATAAACACAATGATATTTGTTTCCAGAAAGTGTTTTTTGTTTTCAGAAAATTATGCAATCGGGAGAATTTTTGCTTTGTTTTTTGGTGGGTTTTTTTTTTTTGTAGTTTTTTTTTATCTGTTTCTTCGTTTTGTTATGATTTGATTCCGCTATTTTAACTCGATGGTGTTGACCGCCAGTCAGCACGAAGTATTTCTAACAGGCTTAAAATCTCTATTTGACAGAGCAAATATCTGCAATATCCACTTTCACGTTAGTGTATTGATTTTTTCCAAAAGTTATAACTCAGAAGGCAATGATGTTTAGTGAAGAAAATAGAATACGCGAAAATGTGTTGACTGTTTTCCTAATTTTCTTTCATAACACTGTTATCTGCCGTTTGATGGCCACAGTGACCATTTCCTTGGTTGATGTGCCTTAAGGAAGTAGCAATATAGATTATAGTGATAAAATAACCTCCTTAATGAGACTTGTACGTATTTGACACTATTGCAAAGTTCCAGTTGTTTTAAAAGAATTACATCAATGTTTACCACAGTTAACAACTAGATCTCGTTAACATAACTGACGTGTTTCATTCAAATCAAGAAAGCTGTATTTCAGAAACAATATTTACAAATAGTTTAAATTGTGTATCCTAATCTATCACTCAATGGTAATGTTTATGCTGGTCAGTTTATATGAGATAATTTACACAAGCTTCAACTTTGCTGTCAGATCCCTTTTTCACCTCTGTTAATTTTGTGCCTTCTTGTATTTCAACAATAATGAATAAAACATTGTTTAAATAATCTATATTTGACGTTTTGCAATTGAAATTAGCTTCTGATGATTTATTTTTATTATTATTTTAGCATCTTAAAAACTTCTAAGGGAAATGAATTCACAATTGTGGCATGCGTTTAAAGGTTATGTTGTTTATAATGATAGATGAGCAGTTACCGTAAAAACTTGAAAACAAGCAGCCCTCAAATAAAAGCTTATCCTGAAAATAAACCTGTAGATTCTTGCATCAATAAACCTGCATTTGCCTACTATTAAAGAAAATAAGCTGCATCTTATTTTGGAGTATTTTTAGTATTCACGTACCATTGGAACCTATGTCTCTTTTAAAAAAAATATGCATTCTTCTGTCTTTCCTCTCATCAATCTTAGCGAAGGATATCAATTGTGTGAAGTTAATGTTACTATGTTGAATTTGAAAGCTGATTCATAACCTTGCGCGACAAACAAAAATACTTCATATAATATAGCCTGTATCTGATTTTCACTCGCTGTTTAAAACTGACGACGAGCTTTCTTTTTTCGGTTATGTTTGGCTGACATTATTTGATCATTGAAACTTTGACCACGTATCAAAAATCGAACTTCTTACTAGAATGTTCGATTTTTACAACAGAACAACAAAATGGCGAATGTCCCTGTCACCTAAAAAGTATTGTGATAACGCGCTCTTGTTTATTGAAGTGAAAACCACGTGCCTTGCAAATAAATATGTTTATGTATATATACATGGCAGCACAAGGAGTTCCTCGGGCCGGATTTAGCGGCTACAAATGAGGTAATTTGTGTTATTTCGCTGGTGCCTCATTGATTGTTTTTGCTATGACGTAAAATTGTGGTGTGAGCACTCCTAGAGCTCATACATCTATGGCAGTTGGATGACTCATCCCAATCAGTCCGCCTTAATTTCTGTTACGTTCATTGTTAGCTTGCCACAAATATTGTACCATATTATCAATATCAGTTATGTTTTAGATTAAGCTAGTGGTGTTTCTAATAAATGTTTGAGACAGTAATTTTTGCGGAATTTATTTTGCATGAAGTGTCGGTATCAACAATTTTGTAAGCAATATATAGGAAGATTCTGTTAATAAGACTACAACGCTTTTTACCAGTGGCATTAATTTGATCCCTTCACTTTACTCTGTTGGGTTACGCTGGAGGAATGCTGAGTTTAACAAACATTCGAGCTTATTTTTCAGGTCAGCTTATAATTTCTTTTTTTTCTCATCAAATCAGCGTCATTTTTGTTATAATGAATCTGCGTTTATTTACAATGTGTTCACATTGTAATATATCTATACCCTTGACGAAAACTGTTTGACAGATATACTGTTTAAAATACATTGGAAATACAATGTGTCTTTTACAGGCTTGAGGTACCATGGAGCCAATTTCTTAGAAATTGGAATCACGTTCTATTCTTTTACGTATTGGCATAGATTAAAACACAGATTGAACTAGCACAAAAAAGAAAACAAATAAAACGGACAACACCTAAAACGAATGAATATGACTATAGGTAGATACGGTCAGTATATAAGACATTTATAAATATCATTTTTCTTTTATTGTAACAGCGTTGCAGGTTTTTTTCCTCCGGCAATTAAGTGCAAGCTTGCAGAAGTTAGAAAATAAGAAAAAAGGCATTTGGCGTATTTGAGTAAGAATCAATAGTGATGCGTCATCAAACTCCTCGTGTTCAACAGCTTGTAGACTAAATGTTACATTATCCCCAGGCGAAGGGGGAAACATGTTGGCTAATAATCTTCAAATATACAGTCCCTTCAATTGTAGGATTTCAATAGCATATGCTGATTTTGAAAAGGAAGAATTTGATTGATATAGAAATAAGAGTAAACGATTAAACTAAGAAAGAAAGGAAAGAAACATACATTTTTTATTCAACAACTTCTAAATCTTGCGATAAAAGTGATTACAAATTGATTTGAGAGTTATATTGAAGTAGAAGTCCTTATAAGGAGTAGCGTCACTTACTGAATGAAAAAAACTCTCTCTGAGGTTTTGATAGAAAATCTAGTCAAACGGGATGTTTATTAAGAAGTGTCGAGATCCAGAGAAAATCGTATTCCTGCTACAGTTCAAGCGCCAGATCGTGTCAGGGTTTGGTTGAGGGGCTGTGCTAGGGGGTTAGGTGATTTTCCAAAACCTAATTTTGTTATATTCAATCAACAAATTTTCCTTTCGTCACCGGAACATAGATATTAATTGTATCACATGTACATTGTATCTAAAATTAATTTTTAATCCTTTCGAAAATCGTCAATGTCTATTTATTAGGATTCTTGAAGATGTTTTGATTAC